TGATGCCCAGTACCCACTTAGATGGTTGGTGGATTGATACCTGGAAACTATCTTGCTTTTTTTGATTTCGTCCCAATCTACAATAGAAGTATCTCGAAGCGAATAAAATAAAATAATCGTTAAAGTCTACTACATAAGATAAATTCTTATCGTTCGCTTACACATTTTACAAGTACGAGTATTATTTGTAGAGTGATGTAGATTCATAGGAAGCGCCTCAAACAGAAGTCAACAGTTTTAAGTCAATGACTGAACAGGTAGAAGGGTTTCTTCCTCAAATCTGGATTTAGTTTACATTGTGAACTTGAAATCACCTCATTGGACAATATTTTTAGCCCTGGGACAACCAACAACTCACTATAACAACTAATTCTCCTCTACTATTATTGCACTATTGGGTCCTGAGTGGAACGTAGGACTTCAACACCACATCTTCACTTTGTCCTGCTCTCTACAGTCGTCTTTTTTAGCTGGATATATGAATGCCCATAAGATTACATTCTCTTCCACACGACCTCGTTCAAGTCATCATACCCAACTCATCGTTTTTCACTCTGGGACCCATCAGTTTCCTCAATGATTATTCCATTAATCTTGATTTTCTTCTGCATATATATTGAGCAATAAGTTCTTGAGTGATTCAGTTCCAGAGTTTCTTGTTGCTAATTCTTTTTGGTCAGCCATCTGATCTTCGACAGAGAGCTAAGGCGTCTGCAACCAGTTAGAAATGCTTTTCGTGACGTACACGATTAGTTGCTGACTCATGAAGAACTGACTTAACACTGCGGTTGAAAATCCAATTCTTGTTCTGTATGCTGCGTGCAGAATATTCTTGAATTGATTTCAAAGTGTTGAAGATCTACCTCGCCTTTCCAACCCCACCTTTGACATTTTTATCCGTGCGACCTGAAGTTGAAACAATTCCGATTGGAAAAGTCAGAGAAGTGGCTCCCTGTGTATTTCTCCAGTTGACAGTAATTTGTGATAGTTTTTTATTGGTTGATTGTCTCCATCACCCTCGTCTTCCCTATATTCACTTGAAATCCTGCCTTCGCTGCCTATTCTACCAGGTGGTTGGTTTTCGCCAGCAAGTCATCGAATTTATGTGACATTAAACACAAATCACCCACCAAATCCAGATCTTCTAAAGTCTTTTTTTCGATCCGACATATTCCTGCCTTCTCGATTCCCACGTATAGTAGGCTGTATAATCCAGTCCACCCCAAGTAGTAACATCATCGGTGATAGTAGACAGCCTCGTTTTACTCCTGTCTTCACTTCAAACGCCCCCTGACTTTTCCGTTGTAGATCACCTGACACGTCCCAATTTTATATAACTGTGCAATGAGTGTGAAAATTTTTTTAGGAAACTCCATAGTTTTGAAATAGTTAACAGATCGCGTCGCAGTCAACGCTGTCGAAGGCGTTTTCGATTATAAGGCGTGATTCGCTTCTCCTGAATCCAACTTGTTCCACATCCTGTGCATCTTTTAGTCTCTCCTGGATAACACGACTTAGTATTTTTCTCTTATTAAGTCTTTTATCTTCTCCCGTTACATTATTACGACAATCCCTTATCACATGCTCATGTGTTTTCACTACTTTTTTTACCTTCCTTTGTATTAAACACATACATAGGTGCCTGCGCTCTATTTCCCGTGTAAAGTGGCATAATAAGGTGAGCAACATGGAGGTTAGGCGTCGAGTTCTAGGTAAACAGGGGAAATCAATCGACGAAGTCGTGAAGCTACAAAGACTGAGATGGTTAGGACATGTGTTACGTATGCCAAGCCATCGCCTCCCTCGACGAGCAATGTTAGCGGATATAGGGTCAGGCTGGAAAAAAGCTAGCGGCGGTCAAACAAAAACTTGGCATCAGTCAATGAAATCCACAACAGTTGGTCTAAGCCACGTAGGAAGGTGTAGACTTCCAGGCTGGGGTCCTCGGGACGGTAAAAATCTATGGTTGGAAACAATTGGTGACATGGCTCAAAATCGTTCTTAGTGGCGCAGATGCATCCACTCCCTGTGACTTATGATCTTCAATGAAACTGTTTTGTTTTCTTTATTACTCCTTTGTCTCACACCTCTGCTCACTGTTTCTATTATGCTTTTCTTGTACTTTCTTCTCTTGCTTCGCGTGCTACACGGAATGTGGCGACTTGAACTGCCGCACATTTGTGCAAAGTTCTATGTCGAAAACAGACAGACAGACAGAAACACACACGACTTCCACACATTAAAACTATTCAGAATTGAAATCAGCTGATGAAAATTTGTAAAACATTCATTTATTATATTATTTCAAATATGTTTCCCTTATTTCCTTATTCAATTTTATAAACCAAACAAACTTTTTTTAAATATCTCGTTGAACTAATCAAATGTCTCCAAATTTGTTAAATCTAACCACGATATTTAGAAGTCTCATGTGTTAATTAACTTCGACATTAAAGCTGATTTCTCACTGCCAGACTAAGTCTTCAGAAAGTATGAGTACGACTTCAAGATGCTTCTGTGTGAAAGCTATGACGACATAATATAAACATACCTACATGTCACTGTATATCCCCTTCGCCACACAAATACAAATACTAAAATCCTACCTAGATAGAACACAGTGCTGCTGTTTTAAATAAATACCTTATTGATATTCAAGTGTTGGTTTGTAGGGATTTGGTTGATTAGTTACGAAATTTCATCATGAGCTGACGCCGGTTAGAGAACCATTGGAAAACCTGGGAGTACTGGACAGCTGTTTCGACTCTTCAGCAGTACGCACCCACCAAAGGGGTTCGAAACCAGGACCTTCTGGTTACAAGGCCAGAGAGCTCGTAGACCATTAAGCCACTGGGACCCGATCCAATGACCAGTCCATGAATTCTGACTTCTGCCAATTAACGACATAGTGCAACCTCTACCCAATGTCTTCAGCGAGTTTGTATCCTCACACTCGAACTGCTGCAGCCTACTTACCTTATTGATTGGTAATCGTACGCAGAAACTTCCAAGTATACAGTTGTAGCGCAATACTCAACAGTTCATGTCATATACACATTTAGCTATCAAGGAAATCGTAGATGCAATGAACCTTAGGTTCCTCAGTTTACCCGGTATTCGTATACGAATTCCTAATTCTTACTTAAAATATACAATTGCTATGTCTCTTCACCTGGATCGTAGTGTGGCTGCATCATTCGGTGCTCACACAAGGAACAATAGTTGCTATTTGGCGGATGGTGTCTAGTACTGGAAACCAGGATATACATTTCGCCTTATATGGGGTTCATCAAGTGGATATACCTGTATTCCTCGGTGAGTGATGGTGTTCCCAATGAGACTCAAACCCAGTACCCATAGTTTTAAACTCCAGAGCATCATCCATGAGAACCACCTGACGAGTCTTACCCCAGCTTTCCCTGTTGCTTTACTGTGTAACATAGCCAGTTTTGATAAACCAATTCTCATTAGACTATGTAGCTATCAGAGCTACAAATACACCATCATTTCCAACAAGGTAGTAAGTGCTCATCAACATCATATATTTAGACAATCTTGGACAACAGAAGAAATCAAAACAACGGAACGATTTCAATTTGTCATTATTGCGCTCTGCTCTGAACTTGCGATAAAATTTGACACAAAAATGATAAGCTATACAAAAACTCTAGAAATTAATAGCATCAAATGGATCGATTAGGTAACTGCATCCCAAACACAAAACACACAACTGCACAAAGCGTAGCTAAGCAACAATAAACAAATACAAACATGAAAATACAACACAGAGTACACACAGAATTAGATAATTCATCAGAATATATTGACGAATAGTGTGATGATCGGTTACTTCAGACTGGTGAACAAGTGGAATTAGAACAAGCGTTTTTCATACCTGCAGAGAAAACAAAACATTTTAATTGATAAATATTTGATTATAGGAACGTATTACTTTTTAAGGTTACATATTCAAATGTCTTGTTATAATGTATACGCCTAATTCTACTTAATTTTTCTGCCTGACCTAAAAATAACTCGAATTTATTGTCTTCAGACACTCATGGTGTCTTTGTGTTCCCCAATCTTCTTGAAGGCTAGACTACAATCGATTATTAACTTCATAATTTTCAGTGAATTTAGTGCCTTTCAATGTTATCCAGCAATAGCTTTTAACTGTTATTTATGACAATAAAACCTGTCTGTCAATGACCCATCTTCTCGACTTATTTTCGCTTTGTTGTGGTCATTGACACTATGGATGGCAAATTGAGTATTATATATTCCTACTATTATTCCCTTTGGTTCTGTGTGGAACATAAGGTTTCAACAGAGTGTGTGAAATTCATCCTGTTCTCAGTAGTTGCCTTTAGCTGGCTCCACGATTGCTCATAAGCTCTCATCTCCTCTTCACACGACCTCCTCTATGTCACCTTCAGACTCACATCCAACTTGTAATTTCCCAGTCAGGTTCCACTCGATGGCCTAAGACGTCAAGTCGCCTAGCGGTCTCTTCAGCGTGTGTGTCTAATCCATCACCATTTTCTTCAGCATATCTGCTAAGCAATAGGTTTTCGGTTGTGGTACGTTCCCAGAGTAATTCGTTGCAAATCCATCCTGGTCAACTATTTAATAAACGTTATGCAGCGAGAGGGTCTCTTGATAAAAATCTGAAGACTGTTCGAAACTCTTTTGCCGAAATGCCAAGTCTCTGAACCATATAGAAGAACTGATATGAAATCACTGCTTAAAATACGAATATCATTCGCTAAACTTAGTAAAACAAATTTCCAAATTGACTTTAGAGTAATGAAGTTCTGTCTTGCCTTTCCGATCCCACCTTTGACATCCTCATCCGTACTGTTGCCTGGTAGTTGAAATGATGCAGCCTAGATAAGTAAAAGAAGCGAGTTCCTTCATCCTTCCTTCTTCCATAGGTGGTGATTCACGCTCTCTGTTCCTGATTAGGTATCGTCATTAAATCTGTCTTCTCTATGTTTTATTTGTAATCTTGTCTTCGCCGCTTCTTCTGCCAACTCGTTGGTTCTGACCTGTAGAGAAGGTTTCTGTAATACTTTAGGCTTACATAATTTGAAGTTCACCAGGGCATATTACCGGCCATATCAACACATATCGATTTAAAGATCCACTGAACTAATCAGTTATTAAAAATTTTATTCAATCACTAAACACAAATCGATGAAAGCAAAAAGGTTTCATTTTAATCTTGGTTAGACTAATAATATTAACCATATTACATTATTTAAGCACACAGTTAAGATTTTGAATTGATGCCTAAATAACAAGAAAATGATAGTAATAACGAAACGAAAACGTGAATCAAGATAAGTCTCGAGACTTTTGCATTGGAATCCTGCCAAAACCCAAAATTTCCACTTTGAAGTCAATCATAATCTCAGTACGCTGAAATCCATAAAGGCATGCATTCAAATTACATTAGTGCCTTATAATAGGTTATATCCAGTATTTTCATGTAGTTGTGTTCTCTGAGCTGAATGGTTTATTGAGAAGCTTTCATTGCCCTACTCCACTAGGCAACAAATTCAGCGCATATTTCAATTTGATGAAGTGAACTTTTAGATTTCTCCACGAGTTTATTAGTCATCTCTGCTGGTGACTTTGAACGCCGTGATTAGTTGTTTTCATGTGTTTTCACACCCTCTAGGCTATTTGTATTACTATTGGTTGTTTCCTTGACCTGAAGTTTCACCTTTTGTGTGTGAGATTCCTTCTTATCGATTGGTAAATTTTGTCTATCTCGATGTGTCTATTGATTGACGATTCACTGGAATATCAAGATTCTAAAAATTCTCTAGCATTCTTGGTATTTCCTCTGTCTCATATTTGAACGTTGTCCTAGTCGAATTGATGTTCGTGGTTGTCTTTATGAAGTGATATGAGGGGGTGGATATCATGTCTTTTGACGGCTAGTTTATGATCATGGATACGAAGACTAAGGAGACGTCTACTTTGTTTTTCGCAGCTGTTATAATATATTCCGTAGATGATGTTGGTTTTATCTTCTTTCGTTGTTGAGTCTTTTGGTTGACACAGAGCTGAGTGAAGTGATTTTTTTGGTTTGTGTGTGATGGTAATTCCTAAAGGTTTGAAGAGTCTTGTAGTGATTTCTGAGATATCCTTTATATATGGCAGAGCAATTTTATTTGTGTTTTCCTTGAGGGCTTTTGATTTGGTACGTTGGCTTGGGGGTAGATACCTTTTGATGAAGTTCCGTGGAAGACGTCCATGAGATATGTTTCTTCAATTTTCCTTAAGTTAGGAGTGTTGCAATGAATCGTGGCCCTTTTGAATAATGTTTGTATACAACTCATTTTGCAAATAAACCATCCAGCTCAGAAAAAACAACTGCATCAGAAGCATCTACCTGAGCTACAAATCTTCTTCATGGTATATCCAGGATGTTGGAACCAAACACAGTTACACTTATGACCATTTAGTTAGCGCCATACCTGTAGAAACAGTCATGTGCAAATTAATAACACAATAACTACTATTACCATCCACCTAGTTAGATAAATGAACTCTATCTAATGGGATGCGAGATGTAAATTAACATGTAAATAAGTAAACAATTTAATGATAACATTATTACTATCATGATTTATTTAAAATCATTCAGTTTAATAAAATTAAATATAAGTAGAACCTACGAATGTAAACTGTGCACTCCACCTTCAATTTGAGCCGATGGACTTCGATGTTCAAAGCGTAATTTCCCATTTTGTGACATTTCATACAATTCAGTTATATTTCTAGCACCAACTTGTTGTAATCCATGTTTAACACCCGCGACTAGATAGGGTACAAGTTGGTGTACAGATCCTCTGTCTACAATTGTCCCTGAAACACCCTGAGCAACTTTAACACGATCCGATTCACTGAAATATCTAGCCTGACTTTCTGTATGCTGAGACATAGCCTCCAGACTTCCCATACCTAGAGGAATTGCAAAAGAAAGATAAGTCTTAGTGTGGTGAGAGCTGGCTGTTAGCCGAAATCGGTAGACAGTAATTTACATCAATTCGTACGTCCCAAATATTTGGTCATGTATTGATTTCCTAAATAAACGATCTGTTGCTTGGCCATTGTCTTCTGTTGTAAAATTAGAAAGCTTAATAAAAACACATCTCGCTTTAAATAAGTTTACTGAAGAATTAACAAAGGATTTCTTCCCTTTCTTTATACTTTGGTGAATCGATGGTTCAGTAGTTGAATGCTAGTCAACAATGTATGTGGTCTGGGCTGGTGCACCAATAGTTCACTAAATGATAATAATCCAGGAAAAGTGGAAACATTGGGCGTGATAGTTGCAACCCCTCCCCTGGAAAAGACACTGCTACTAAAGGGGTGATTGTATGACATATTCCTTTCTTAAAGTGTCTTTACCTGTTTTACCCAGTGGGTATTAGGGGGTTTCAATAGAAAGGCTAAATATGCCAGCATGATTTGATGAAAATTCAATAATATACGTCTAGCCGTTGCATTTACGACCTCCTTTAATCTACTACAGTACGCAGATATCATTATCAAGCAACATTCTTTGATAAAACTGCAGAAAATGTAACGCATTTTAAGAATGTAATGCTACTGATAATATGTACACCAGAAGACGATTGAAAAGCATATTTTAAAAAATATGATTTGTTATTAAAACACCATAACAATGAACGCCAACGCTACAGCTAGCGAGGATATGCAATAAATCTACTCGCTACTGAGACTCCAACGCTTGAAGCTTTATACTCGACTTAGGAATATAAAGGAATGAGAAAAAACACTGGTACCTTAGAATTCCAGTAATTTCTATAGCCAACACAAGTCAGTGATAAGACTGGAAACTTTTAGATGAAAGCAGTTTGTGAGACTGATAACAGAAGTATGAGTCAAAATAGTCACAAAATGAAGAAAACATCAACTACACCTGTGACATGTACCGCTGACAGAAGAAGCAGCAGATTCAAGTGACGCACAGAAGACAGAGGTGATGGAGATAACCAACATCTGCGGAAGGAATTCAAACAAGGTCACTCCTCTGTCACTTATCTGGAGAGCATCATTTCAACTGCAGGCATACGGTACGGATAAGGATGTCAAAACTAGAATCGGAAAAGCAAGGCAGTTTGGAAGCATTCACCATTCGGAATAAAGAACGAAATCCAGACTTTCAACGACAATGTTAAACCAGTTCTGGGTGAGAAATTTGGCACACATTGGAAGAAGAGCATTTCTAACAGGCTACTGCAGACTTTTATGAGCAGGTGCATTCGTTGGCTGCATACTGTGCGTCAGTGGCACAGCGGTTAGACTCTCGCCGACCATGCACATAGTTCGAGGTTCGATTCCCTGCCGACGCACACCTGATGTCTATGGTCGGCCAGCAAAATTTGGGCTACCGATATCACATGCTGAAAATTCCATACTTGTACCAAGAATACGGTGTAGAATCAAGCTGTAATCAACAAAAAAATTTTTAAATAAAAAATAAAGGATTGCTGGCCAGCAAGAATCAGCATCAAGAAACTCATGGGAATAAACCAACCAAGATCCTATTGCTCAAAAGAAATATGAAATAGAATGGAGCCCCGCGTCGGTGACATCACACGCCAGGCCTGCAAATGAAAGCCGAGTGGAAGGCGAGTTGGGCTGGGGTCCAAGGATAACATGGAAGAGATTGTGTGGGGAGGAGATGTGAGACTATAGACAATCGTAGTGTCAGCTGAAGAGGACTGTAGACGACAGGACAAAGTGGAGATGTGCTGTTGGAGACCTATGTCCCACTCGGAACCCAAGGGAATAATAGTAACAAAACTAATAAATTTTATTCTACTAATAAAAATACGATGGAATGAATAACCAGACACTTTAATCTGAACACAACACTTGAAAACGATACACTAACAAGAATTAAGAGAATAAAATTATAACCTTCAACGCGTTTTTCACCGCCTTACCGTCAGGAATATTTTAAAGAAACCTTAATGAAAGTAATAAGAAAGTTCAGACGTTTACAAAAGCAACGATCATATCACTTTCACAATTAAATTACAATAAGTATTTACTGAAAAGCAACAAAACTACCTCAAGAAAGTGTGCCTAACAATAAGAAAACTTTTATAACAAAATTACTGTCACCAGACATATTAGCGATAAATTGATATTCTACCTCATTAAATTACGCCCACATCATTAAGAAAGAGAGTGAAAACCTGAGTATAAATTCATTATAGAAAATTATACCGAATAATTGGTCTCAAAAAATACTTGGTAACTGTATTATTCTCTAATAAGCTCTTTTAGCGATAACACAATATCATACTTGTGCCAAAATGCTGCTTTACAAATGACAAGTTAACTCGTTTCAGTCTGCTTCAAATGGCTGACAGGGAAATATTTTGCCCGCTCTAGTATATGTCTAAAAAAGCTGTAATTCTTTTTGTCTCACTCACTGATAACCAGATGCAACTGCGCGAGACAAGACAATGGTCAATGACCAAAATGCGCGAGAAAACAAAAGGCAAATAACCGTTGAAAATAGGGAGTATACCGCTTGGATTCAGTCCATAAACTGCCGCCTCTTCTTCTGCATGGATTCGTCTTTGATCATAGATGTCTGTGTTCTGTCTCCCTTGTTAGGTGATATAACAATAAGGTGGATAACACTGAGGTTGGCCGTAGTGTGAGGAAAGGATAGAAAGTTAATCAATGAGGTTGTGAAGCTGTGGCGTGTGTTACTGATAAGATTTATCAGTAGTACGTATATAAAGAGATTTCGCAGATGATTTATGCTTGAAGTCACAAAATCGAAGACTTACAAGCGAAAAGCGACAAACTGGTCGAAGAAGCCGTCAGTGAAGACAGGACTCCAGGTGAACATAGACAAGACGGAGGTTATGAAAATAACCAACCAACCAACGACAACAACAGCAGCAACATTCAGCGTCAATCACCATCAACGGGAGGGATTTGAAAGAGGTGACTTCATTCACTTCACTTATTTAAGGAGCATTGTCCTCCTCAAATACAGAAGGAACGAACGAGCATGTCAAATCGAGCGAGAGTCAGGAAGGCGAGAAACACATCATCAACCTGAAACCAATCTGGAAATCTTCGTCACTCAGCCAGCATCAACAACAAAATTCGGTCGGATTTTCAATACAAACGTCAAGTCAGTCAGCTCTTCATACGGATCAGAAACTTGGCGGGGGGCGGGTCACAAAGAATATCTCCAACAGCCTGTTGCAGACCTTTATCAACGAACAACTGTCTTCGCTGGATCTATACTGAAGATCTGATCAGATGGTCGGGCCGGAAAGAATCACCAACAAGGAACTATGGGAACAAACAAAACAAGAACCAATCGCCCAACAAATATGCAGGAAAAAGTGGAGATGGATTGGACACTCACTCGCTGAGGAGGCCGCTAGGTGACATCGCGCGCGCATCAGGCCATTTCTCGAGTGGAACCAGGCCGAAAGGGAAGCGGCGAGTGGGACGTGGGTGCAAGAGTGACATGGATGAGATCTTGTGAAGAGGAGGTGAAACAGTATGGACTAATATGGATGCAGGTGAAAAGTACAACAGAAGACAGAAGTGGCAAGTGGAGACGTGCAGTTGAAGCCCTATGTTCCACTAGGAACCCAGGAGAGCAATAATAATATAATAATACGTATATAAAGAGACATTCATCAGCATAAAAACATCAAATATCAGGGAGATAGATTAGATGTCAGAGAAAGCAAATAACACAGAAATGCGGAGATGTATGAGAGACGTGAAAGGAATAAAAAGAAACACAATATGAAAGGCAGAAATAGCACAACACAGAAGATCTGTGTAAAATGGTGATTTTAAGAAAAGGCGTACATAATTTCGCCATGTAGAGATGCCAAGTCTTTCATCTACTACCGTTACAAAACTACATCAATTGAGATGGTTATGAGGACATTTATTACGCATGCCTAGTCGTGGCCATTGTCGAAGAGTAATGTTAGCTGATACAACATCATGTTGGAAAACAGGTAGTAGTGGATAAGAGAAACCAGGGATTAGTCCATGAAATATTTAGCAGGTACTTTGAGCTACGTAAGGAGACGCAGAATGCCTAGTTCGGGCTCTCGAGATTTCAAGATTAATGGTTTGAGACTATCACTCTCACTGGCGCAGATTCACTAACTCTCTTTGATCTATCTATTGTTTTTCTATGTTACTCTACTTTCTCTCTCACATTTCTGTGTTATTGTCGTTCTTACGAATACTTCTTTTTCCCCTTTCGCCTTACTTTGTGTGCCACATGGAGTGTGATAACTTGAACTTCCACCCTTCTGTACAAAGTTCTACATTGCAAACCAACAGTCAGTCGATCAGCCTGGATTCACATCCACTCAGCTCAGACTGTAGGTAATGAATTAACATTCTGGATAGACAAAATAATTAATCGGTGTATGGCGACTAGCAGTGGAATCTAGGATGCGATTTCATCCCATCTGGGACTCGTCATCCGGATGCACTTGCAGTCCACAGTGACCGATGATTCTCCCAACAAGGATCGAACCCAGTGCCCATAGTTTCAAACACCAGCCAAAGCGTTATCCACTAGACCACATGGGCCACGAGAGTCAGCTCTTGTGCAACGTGTCATATTAATTATTTAATTCAATTTTAGATTTTCCCGTCGATTGATTGGACCAAAGTGCTTGGTCTCAGGTTGACATGTCTGTCGACTTCTTATGGATTCCATTGGTAGCCACCATCCACCGATTGGCTGCTAGCTGCATGTGCAGACATCGTCGAAGCATCTACGCAAGAAGGTGACATGTCAACTTGAGACCGAGCACTTCGGTCCAGTCAATCGACGGGAAAATCCTGAAAAATCAATTAAATATGCCTTATATATTTCTTTAAATTATCATGTTTGTTATGATGTACATTTATTATATATTATTATTATTATTACTATTACGATTACTATGACTAGTATCAGTATTAGTATTATTATATTCTTGCATTTGTTCACAATCTCACTTCAGTCTGGAAATTATTCCTGTGGCTATTGATCACCATGTGTAGAGTATTCATTCAACATATTCAATATAGTGTGCCCTTTCTGAACTTCTAGGGGAAATTTAATTTGTTTGGTTTTCAACGTTAGTTAAGTAATTTATTCTTTGAGAAAACAATTCAGACAATTCTCGAAATAGTTGTTGTATTTGGATTTGACTAGTTAGTTACCCTGGGAAATTTGTGTCTAGTTTCCGTGAAATTTTCATTCTAGTCAAAACAATTTATTTATTAATTTATTTTTTCCTTCAAAGTTTCCGATAAAATTTGTGAACATCTTTATATTAACGTTATGAATTTTATTTGTGTGTGTGCCTGTGTGTCTGTGTGTTTGTTCACACTTAATTGAAGCGATTTCACCCTGGTAATGTTATATAGTCTCAAGGAAGGCGAACATCTGCTTAGACTGGCATGAAATCATTCAGGATTGTATTTCAGCTTTAATCAAAGTTGGGGGTATCAGAAAATTAATGTACCTCATAATGACTATATGTCATTCAGTGTGTCCAATTGTTTTAGGCAGTTACAGTTGTTAAATTAAGCCTAATATGGCTAACATTTTTGAAAAAAAAACTATGAATACAATTTTACTTTTCTCGGTGTAGGTGGTTAGGTGAAAACTTTCATAGGGTAATGGTAAACTAATCTAACTGTGTTTCCTGATTACTACTTCCTATTTGCGTAATTATAAAGTACACTTACAAATATGGAACTGCAGATTTTATTACTCTAAAAGATTATTTCATCTGATTCAATTTTAGATTTCCCCGTCGATTGACTGGACCGAAGTGCTCGGTCTCAAGTTGACATGTCACCTTCTTGCGTAGATACTTCGACGATGTCTGCACATGCAGCTAGCAGCCAATCGGTGGATGGTGGCTACCAATGGAATCCATAAGAAGTCGACAGACATGTCAACCTGAGACCAAGCACTTTGGTCCAATCAATCGACGGGAAAATCTAAAATTGAATTAAATAATTAATATGACACGTTGCACAAGAGCTGACTCTCGTGGCCCATGTGGTCTAGTGGATAACGCTTTGGCTGGTGTTTGAAACTATGGGCACTGGGTTCGATCCTTGTTGGGAGAATCATCGGTCACTGTGGACTGCAAGTGCATCCGGATGACGAGTCCCAGATGGGATGAAATGCGCATCCTAGATTCCACTGCCAGTCACCATCCACCAATTAATCTAAGGCATAGTCATTATTTATAAGAATTATTCTAAAGTAGTAGAGAATAGCAATAAAATTTTCACGATTAAACTGTAAAGCTCAGAGCGAGCAAAAATATAAAAGAAAAACCAAGATTCAAGATCATAAAGTCACTTCAACTCGTGTATATATATATATATTGAAATGAAATAAAAATGGTGTAAGTTGGCAGTTTTCACGTTAGATGGCTGAGTTCTTATACGGCCTCGCCATTTCGAGCATAGCTCCTTTACCATATACTTTCTTAGTAGTCACTTCATAGTCAGACATTGCCATATTACCTCTCTATCGACGGGGTCACCATCAAGTCAATAAGTCTGGCAAGTACTGGACAACCCCATACAGACCCAAAGCCTAATTAGTTTTTGCAGAACTATTGAATTCAGAAACTTAGATTCTATGTTCGTCAAGTCCATCTCTAAAGTAAATTTGTCAGTAATCAGAACAAACCAAGTGGAACCATCAGGGATTCTCATACATTATATAGTCAATAATTCATCACCGCCATTTTTCAATATCACTGACATCATCTCATCGAGACCTGCAGCTTTACTTCATTTGAGATATGAAACAACTTTTGCGATCATGGCTACATATGGAAGACCTGTCTGCAGCCCATTCAAGCAATGGTTCAGTGACCGGTGACTTTAGCGTTCTCTGCAATACTCTAGTATTCTCTCTTGAGAAGTAATTGAGGTTCAGTCCTTTGCTAACCATAGGCATTTTATAACTATTTTTCTTAATGAGTCTAAATAGTTTTCGGGTATTACCTATTGATAATTTCTTCTCCATCTCCATAGCTTTTAGCTACACACCTGTCTCCGCGGTCAGTGCGCAAAATTCAGGTAAGCTTACATTTGGACAGCTTTCAATGGAGTCAGCTGGCATTAATCTCTCTCCCCTAGTTCGGATGGAGCTACACAAATCCAATAACAAACAACAACCATTTGACTATCAACGGCCTCTATCACCGTTCTAAGGGGACTGAATATGATGACAGGCTTTCTCAGGATGAGCATCGCTGTCGTTTCCGGATGGGGTTAGTTACTTCGCCTCTAAATAGGGGCTTTCAGTACACATCGAAGCAACTGGGCACGTAGTCGGTTTAAAGCTGCTTGTTTCCTATGACCGTTCAGCCCTCGACCAAAATGTGAACAAACTAGTGCATAATCGGCGTTCACACAGGCGTTCCAGGCGGACCAACCTTCTCCACGGATAACATAAGATTAACGAACAGAAAATATTACATAATTAAAACATCTGAAAAGGGCTTATCTTTACTATCCATTACCTCTGTACTTTTTCAGTCGTATACCATCCGAAAATACATATTCTCCAGGTGACTCAGTTGTTCCAGCTAAAAGTCCACCCATCATAACTGCAGATGCACCAAAACTCAAAGCTTTAACAATATGTCCAGCATTTTGAATCCCTCCGTCAGCAATCACAGGAATATCGTACTTGTGAGCATATTCAGACACCTACGAATATGTTTTTTTTAAAACAGAGCACATAACAAAAACTGTATATTAACTAACAAGACACTAAAGCATATTAGATATACATGTCTTCTTCAGTAACATGTATTTATTATCAGACTAAAAGTTGGGTAAATATAGAGATTATTTTGACATATTATTGATTTGATGTTTTTGTTTACTTTGCTTTTGTTTATTTTACTCGATCATCAAACGTGTACTAACGGGATAGTAGAATGAGGCAATAATTAGTAGCAGAATTGTTTATTTGGCGCATAATGATATACCGAATACGGCAAAATACAAAAGCCTAAAGTTGAGACTTTATTCCGCCAAACTAATTCGTATTCTAGTGTCAATTTGTAGGGATTTGATTGGCTACGGGATTTCATCATGAGCTGACATTGGTTAGAGAACCATTGGAAAACCAACAGGGAGTACTGGACAGCTGTTTCGTCCTAAGTTGGGACTCTCCATCAGTACGCACCCACCGGGGTTCGAACCCAGGACCTTCTGGTTACAAGGCCAACGAGCTTGTAGACCATTAAAGCCACTGGGATCAGACACAATAGCCCATCAATTCCTGAAATGGTAGAAGTTAGAATTCATATACAAACCATTCAATCGGTCGGGTCCCAGTGGCTAAATGGTATACGAGCTCGCTAGCCTTATAACCAGAAGGTCCTGGGTTCGAACCCCTGTGGTGGGGCGTACTGTGAAGAGTCCTAAACTAGGACGAAACAGCAATCCAGTACTCCCTGTTGGTTTTCCAATGGTTCTCTAACCAATGTCAGTTCATGATGAAATCCTGTAAACAAATTCGTATTCTACTTCTTTTGTCTACATTCCTTGCCTCCTATACTGTGCTTCACAAAGATATTTCATTTTTCCTCCTCACAATTTTATCCATTGCTCCGATATATATATATATATACATATTTGTGTATTCAATGTTATCAACAGAAGACATCACACATAATGTACTACTTACGAATTCTAATCAGTACCATATGCAACACACGGTAAAGACACTGTCTAACTATATATCATTCCGCTGTACAATCTACTACGCAGATATCAAACACCATTAACAAGTAAGTGAGCACTTTCAAGATTGAGCATAACCAAACACAACAGACACTTGGTCACAAAACTGTGACATTCAGAGCGAAGTAGATTCATACGACACAATCTTTAAACCACTTTAATTGATATAAATCCACTGTATCTTGATTCTTCACGTATTCCTGTGCACAATATTTCTCTGAAGACAATATCAAGGTGTCCTTGATATGATTATTTGCAATAAATTGTGCTCGAAACGTTGTCATCAGTAAACACTACTGTATAACACTGTGAGACTTTATCAAAACAAAAATTTACCCATAATGGAATTACACTCTACCATAGTGCACAAGTTTTATTCTTATATCAAAATAGACTTAGATCAAGTTAAAAGGACATATTGAAGGTCAAAATAACAATGAAGATCACTAAACCAAACACCAAAGGTAATTGTACATCTGTTATGATATCAAAAGAAAGTTTACTAACTTGATCACCATTCGTAAGTATGGGGTCATTTTTCGTTGTCAAGTTGGTCAATGGGTCAGGATAACAAAACCAAGTGTAGATTGTTGGATTTGATCACTGTATAAAATTATGAAAGCAGTGTGTGTGTGTTTACATAGTGAACTTGCTTATCACATTCGTGTTGATTTTGTCACTTCATGGGGAAGCGAGGTGTTGTAACCAGGTCAAATTCTGTTTCAGTCCATCATTCCTATTCAGACAATTTGGATTCCACTTGATATGAAGTGCTTCTGATATTAGACGTTCTTTGTGATTTCTGAAGTTTTTCTGGATGATGATTTCAATATTGTCAAAATCAATTTTGTGGCCTGATTCTACAGCGCAGCGTGTAGACCTATGGCTGATGATTTTTCAAGTTTTTCTAGTTCAACCGGATTTCTCGTTGGTCGAACAGATGCTCTACGGTGTTCATTTCTCCTGATTTTGATTTCTCGAGATGTTTGTCCGATGTATATCGCATCACATTTCAAGCATTTTATTTTATAGACACTATTATATAGAGATATCATAACAGATGTATTATTACCTTTGTTATTTGGTTTAGTGATCTTCATTGTTATTTTGACTTTCAATATGTCCTTTTAACTTGACCTAAGTCTATTTTCACACCTCTTAACTCTTTATTATATATATGCTGAGATTTTGTAAACTCCGGTTTAATAATACTTTGATAAAGCTATTAGCATTAAATAGCCACACATTTTGTTTTTCATTTACTTGGAAATACAAAACCTTTATTATAATGAACATCCTATACCCAATGCCCAAATTTTTTCAAACTGCTAAAAGTGAATTATTGAATAGAATTTTTGATTTTCCCGTCGATTGATTGGACCGAAGTGCTCGGTCTCAGGTTCACATGTCGGCTTCACCAACTGTATACTAATTAAATGCCCAGACATTGTCGAAGCATCTGCACAAGAAGCCGACATATCAACCTCAGACGAGAACTTCGGTCCAATCAATCGACGGGAAAATCAAAAATTCAATTCAATAATAAATACGACCCGTTGCACAAGAGGTAACTCTCCTGGCTTTGGCGTTTGAAACTATCGGCACTGGGTTCGAGCCTCGATGGGAGCATCATCACTCACTGAGAAATGCAGGTACATCCAGCTGACAAGTCCCAAATAGGACGAAATGCGCATCTTAGATTCCACTGCTAGCCACCATCTACCAATTGTATGCTAAAAGTAAACTTGGTTTGGACGTATATGACTTCAAGAAATTAACTTGACCTCAGTAAAACGCTATATTTGCAGTGTATAATAGGGAATTTCTGCATACCCACCTTATAAACAGCTTTAGCTTGTGATCTTCCAATAGCTGTAACTTCTTGAGTAATACAAATTGACCCGCTACCCATTCCAACACGTAAACCATCAGCGCCCGCATCGATTAGGTTTTTTGCTTGAGCACAAGTAACAACTTGAGTAGTAAAAACAAAACAAAAAAAACAACACGACAGGTGATAAATAATCATTCTTAGACGCGTATACAAAATGTTTTCAAGATAATGTGAAGGTGATGATAAATAATTAATTCAAACAACAGATAATTATCAACAAAGCACGAAACACCTAACACGTTTAACGAAGTTATCTGCGACAAAATGTCAACTTTTTCAAAAAAGATTTATCACTGAGAAAGTCTACATCGCGTCAAAATATTCAGGTAAATTCTTACCGGACATCACTAACAATATGCTTTTCTATATGTTTTCTACATCATAATGAGAAAGAAACTGAAATATAAAGTGGAAAAACATCGAATTTCATAATATTCAGAACTTGAAAAACAACCATGAATGGTTTGCCTACTTATGAGTAGGTCACGAATACATCACAAACAATTTGTCAGACATCGAAAAACCAACGATTTTAGTTGTTGATGATTATGGCCACTTTATTGCATTACAGAAACTGATTTTTAAAAAATGGAAACTACGTTCATCTTTAATGAGCATAGGAGGACTAATAATGACATTAGAACCTGTATCATTTATACGAAGATGGTACCAAATACCATGTTCATTGCAGACACTGAAACACAATCCGTATGGCATTTTACAATTTAACTGTCTGTCTGTCTGGATTCAACATAGAGCTTGGCACCGAAGTGCAGCAGTTCGAGTTGCCACGTCCCAAATAGCACACAAAGGGAGACAAGAAGATGAGTGAAGAGAATCAATAAATTTGACAAGTATAAGAGTGAAACAGAATGGGTAATAGTAGAAAGGAATATGAAAGATTACAGAGACTGAATACATCTGCGCCATTGACAACGATTTTGAGCCATGTCACCTATTGTCTCCAGCCATTGATTCCTAGAGTCCCGAGGGCCCCAACCCGGGAGTCTGCATCTCCCTACCTGACTCAGTTTAACTGTCAAGGATTTCATGGATTGATGAGGCCATGTTTTTGTTTGGCCACCACTGGCTCTTTTCCAACCTGCACCTATATCAGCTAGCAATGCCCGTCGGGGGAGGCGATGGTTAGGCATGCGCAGCACGTGACCTAGCCATCTCAGTCTATGTAACTTTATAGCCTCGTCGATTGATTTTCCCTCTTTGCCCAACACTCTACGCCTAACGTCAACATTACTTACCTTATTAAACCACCTAACGTGAGACAGAGATCGCAGACATCTATGATCGAAAGCAGTCAACCTTTTCATGTCTTCAACTCGTATTGGCCATGTTTCAGAGCCATAGAGAAGGACGGAGCGAACTGATGAGCAGTACACACGTCCCCTGGTTGATAGCCGGATGTCACGCCTACGCCAGAGATGGTGTAAGTTAGCGAAAGCAGCTCGAGCTTTTTGGATCCGTGCTGAGATTTCATCGCCAATCAGTCCGTTGGTGCTAATACAACTTCCCAAATAGGTGAAGTGGTCAACATGTTCTATCACTTCACTCCCTATCACTAAGTTAGGGGTTGACGTGGTCCAGTCCTGTAGCAGCATCTTACATTTTGTAGGGGCGAATCGCATGCCAAACATACGAAGATTGCTGCTCAAGGTGTTCAGAAAACTCTGCATTTTGTCAGCATCCTCCCCTAACAGGACTATGTCATCTGCATATTCTAAGTCCATAAGATTATTCCCTGGTAACAAGTCGATTCCTAAGTCATTACGTTCAGTTAAGGATACTTCCATCAGCATATCTATGATGAAGTTAAACAGAAATGGGGAAAGTGGACATCCCTGTCGAACACCACTGATTGTTACCAATTCAGATGACAATTCCCCATAAGCCCTTACATGGCTACATGAGTTTGAATAGAGTGCCTTGATTAGTGCAATGTACTTTCTTGGCACTCCCTTCACAGTCAGACATTGCCATAGTACCTTTCAATCCACGGGGTCGAAGGCCGCCTTCAAGTCAAGAAATATGGTAATTGTTGGACGCCGAAAAGTGTGTCTATGTTCTAGAATCTGTCGAAGAGTGAAGATATGATCTATGCACCCTCTACCTGGTCTAAAGCCTGCTTGATTTTCCCTCGTCTGTTCCTCCCGAGTTCTGCTTAGTCTGTGCATGATTACTGAGCCTAGGATTTTAGAGACTATGTTCGTTAGGCTGATCCCCCTATGATTATCACACGAGGACTTGTTTCCCTTCTTGAATATCGGTATAATAAGTGACTTACCCCAGTCTGATGGAACTGTCTCTGATTCCCACACTTTGCCTAGTACCTCAGTTAATCTACAAACTAGTATGTCACCCCCATATTTAAACACCTCCGGAGTAATTCGGTCGGGTCCTGCCGCTTTGCCTCGTTTCAAATTACTGATAGCTTTTGTGACCTCACTTACAGACGGCGGACCAGTGTCTATATCCCATTCGGGTGTGTGCTGGATGTCGGGGAGGTTCAGTGTGGCTGTAGGCAAATTAAATTGTCCCTCAAAGTGTTCTTTCCAGCGTTCAAGGCGTCTATCATGCGAGCTAATTAAGAAGCCATTTTTCTCAGAAATAGTCTCGCTTATGATTTGCCTTCTCCCTCCTGTTTCCCTGATCAGTCTAAAGAGTTGCCTAGTGTTGCTTTTTCACAATTTAACTGATTAAAAATGCCCATTAAAATTTTCAAAAGAATGGATACTGAACAAAGAGTACTCTTTTCGATAACTTCATCATCAGGCTCTACAGTTATATATACATTATGGTGAATAAATAAATTAGTGTTATGAACAACATTCATGTTTAAATAACGTTGAATCAATAATAATATGGATAGATTACAGCTCAATAGCATCAACATAGCAATAAACTGAATGTCAGAAAAATTAGGAAAGATAATATTACAAATTCATGCGTGAATTTATAGTCTCTACTGAAGGCCAGGGTGGTAGTAGTAGGGGCTGGACTTGCTTCTTTTGAACACAGAGCGCTGGTTGTTTAAGGCGAATTGCAATAGCCTCTGCTGTTTGGAGCATGCAGTGCTTCGATGTTTTTGGCAATTTATTAGGCACCCGGTAGATGATAGATAAGAATTCTTCAATTTTGGCTGGCTTTGTGGCTGGTTTGCACCAGATGGTCCAGTATCGAACTGTTAATGGTTTTAACTACAACTCTACTTAGCCATAGTGGGATATGGTCTCGGGCACGAAAAATCAAGATCCTAGAGCAACGGCCACAACATCCAGACTCCACTGGTCACTGACTTACAAGTAATCTAAATTTTGGTAGGAAATATCTGTAAATACACCGATAAACAGTGCTTTCATCATCCATCTACAAATTCGATCAGATATGTGATCATTGAGCTTGCCTACACGCTTATGTTTTAAAAATAATATTTGCATAATTCATAAATACTAAGTAAAGACCACATTCCTCATGTGCTTCAAAAAATTCCTCAACATAGTATATAATTTAAATTATATCTGGAAATATATTCAAAAAAGACATATATATATATATCAGTTTGAATGGTGAGTAAATTTTGATTAATTACATACTAGGCATTAGAATATTATTACATATATCCTTTGGATAAGCAAAAATCTATGACTTAACACTTTATACATATATATAAAGACTAACCGAAATATTTTATGCATTAGCCGAAATCTAACATGCAATTATTTTCGGTTGTAATTCATGTTATGAGTTATAAACTATCAGAGTAAACTAAGTGCATAGTTTACATGTGTGATATGTTAACTCGTTTATGTGTCTATCAATTGCAACCTAGTCCTGCTCACACGTTTCCAACCCACCCCCTCCCTCCGAGCGCTTATCTGTTACTAATTTATACAAGTGAATTTGTTTTACTCGAACCTGTGAACTGATAAGATAGACAGACAGTTAACCTGGTTCAAGTTGCTGTACCTCATCTATTATGTTATCGAACAGCAGAGAATAAAAGCGGAGAAGCAAACCGAGAAGCAATGTCTACAGATTGGTTGTTTTCTTGCTGAAGGTCATTCTGTACTGTTTTTGACCATTTCTCAGAAAGTGAAGCCATATATCGGCGAAGCCTATTTGCACACGTTAAGTCTGCAGTAGACTGGTTGGTGAGTTCCTCAAGGTTAAGCTTTGTTATTGTTTTTCTCATAACCCCGATTTGGGATGTAACACTGACGTAAATTGCTGTCTACAATTTTGGCTTGCAGCCAGCTCTTACCACAGTGTTACCATGATAGATTTCTAAACATAGGTCCCTATGGTCACATAAACCACAGCCAATAGAAAACCACTTGACTTGATGACTCCTAACTTCTTCCCAGCTTAATTTTACTCTCGCTAATAAAGCAGAAGAACAGACATTTACATAAAAAATTATAATTTATCAAGTGTATCCAGGATAAAATGTTGAAACATGAATGATAGAAGTAAATGTTGAAGAGTATATTCACATGTACATACAAATGATGGAAGCTGTTGACGGATTATGAGTAAGAATTTATTTAGTCGCTTCCTATTTTTTTTAATGTAGATGATTTAAACCAAGAGCTCTTACTGGCCCTCTATATCTCTTCGAATCTTCCGCCTCTCTCTTCTCTTGCCTTGTGTGCTACATGGAGGCAAAGTGACAACTTGAATTAATGCACATCTGTGAAAAGTTCTACGTTGAAACCAGTCAGTCATAGGCAAAAAGTGTGCTACATAGAAGTGTTATTCACCAAAAATGCCACCGTTCTATATATACGTCAGTTAAACCCAAAATGACTGATACTAAATTCCATTGATATAAGAATAAAACTTAGACATCGTGGTAGAGTATAACTCCATCAAAGAATAAATTTACTGACGAAGTTCAAGAATAGCGTCCCAGGAGTGTGAACGCTCAAATGCCCCTGAACGCTTGCTAGTCATTGGTTGAGGAAACTTACCATTATTCTAGCGCGAAAATGAACCCTGTTCATCTGCTCAGATGCAAATTTCACCCGGATCACGTATTTCAATACTGCCTAGATAATGGATTAATAGGATGTACTCGGATATGTAGTTGTTGAGCTTCTATGAACCTGCAGCCGTATACCCAGGTCATTAATGGATATATATTCAGTGTAGGAAGCGAACAAGTGTTCGTACTGGTAAGTGACACTCTCAGTTAATTGTCTTTTAGGAACTTTCTATGAAAATCGAAACTTTCGTTGACCAATATCCTGTTTCTGTGCCATTACTGGATTTTAAAGTCCGGGGTGAGATCAACTGCCGCTCAGACAGATAATACGATAACGTCTACTGTGCAAAGGTTTCAATTTTGTCCAGATTTGGCGTCATGGAAAATGAACAGTATTTCACAGGTGTTGGGAGGAGTCGGTGTTGCAGTTCATATCGATGAAACGGTGCTTATAAAGAAGTACAATCGAGGACGAGCTAGGGCGAACAACGTTTGGGTTCTGGGAATTTACGACACCCAGATTCGGAAAGGATTCATCGAACTTATTCCAGATAGGAGTGCTGATACACTCCTCCCTATTATTCAAAGGCTGGTCTTGCCAGGAACTACCATTCACACGGATGAATGGGCAGGATATGATCGACTATCGGCTTTGGGATATATACATCATCAAGTAAACCATTCGGATGACTTCGTCGATCCTAGAACCGGTACTCATACTAATTCAATCGAAGGTTTCTGGGGAAGACTAAAAAGTAGAATCAGAGCTATTAACGGCTCTCAAAACCAAGTTATTTTTAGTCATCTGGATGAAGAATATATGTATAGAAATTGGTTTAATTTAAAACTGAAACTCCTCAATATAATTGGGAGATCTTTTTATCTCATATTAGACAAAAATACTCTGCATAATGTTTTTTATGCTTTTTTGTGTAAATATACGTAAAATTTTATGTAAAAATCCTCCTATTTTCTGATTGGTCGGCGGAAGGTCACTTGTGCGTTCGCATCCCTTGGGACGCTATTGTAGAACTTTGCCAATTTATTTAATAAAGGCACAAAGAGACACATGATTATTTACTGATGACGTTGGCTGTGATCATGTAAGACACTCACACAACTTCCAAACTTCGTTTATGTAATTCCATTCCATTTCTTATCCTTTGATTTTACTGGTTGCAATATTTTCGATATCTCCTCTGGTATTGATGTCACGTCATTCCTATTGCATATGTTAGCTGTTGACTGGATAAACAAAAATGCAGTGATCAGGTTCTCCCTGCCCTGGCCATATGACTTTTTACAACCGTCACACTCTCTCACCCTTTTGTATGATTGTGTCTTCATCCGTACAGTGTGACGGCTGAGTTTTTTCAAGAAAATTACTCCTCTTCGTGGCGTAAAATATTCTACACTTAGCTAAATTCTTATATTCTGATAATCTTACTACGCCTGATCTACCAACCTGACTTATGTGTAGTTCACCTCAAAATCATTGTCAGGTATTTTGTAGATTACATTGTTTTGTCTAATTTAGCTAATAGAATCCCTTTAACCTGAGTGAGTTTGTAGTTTTAAATGTCACCCTAATTCCTACTCTATTAAGAAACCTAACCAAAGCCGGGGCTAAAGAGCGCAGTACTCTTATTTTAAGATAATATTAAAGAGAATTACTTATAGTTTTAGCTTTCGGGGATCATATCACACCCAACATGGTTGACAACAATGAAATGTTCAGCAATTAATCAGTTATACAAAATAAAAGTGAATATTAATAACCAATAGCATTTTAATAGGTGAATTAATCCAAGGTAAGGGTGAAGGTTGAAACCATATTGTTTTCTGTATACATAGATTAGGATGCATGTGATCAATTTAAAATGCCTCGATCACGTTTAATAACTCCAACGTATTTTACATTAAAGGAGATGTTAAGTGATCAACTGACATAAGGATTCTTTATTTAACAATGCTTCACTTCACGAGACTGTTGATTCCATTTGCAATCACGACACAAACAATCGACTTCAAGTGTCTTTACCAATCACTTATATCACGGGAAAATACTTTAACATATGCAGAGGATATTAAATTCAACTTCCAAAGGAAAACATATAAGCAAACTGTCAGTATTACACTGGAAGCCATCTTAAGCCTTATTAGCAGATGTAGAAGTTGGAGAAAGAAATGGAAGGTACATTGGGCAATTGTATGCTCTATAAACGTTATGTGAATGAATGATACACTCGTTATTGATAACAATAATGACCAGTCCATTGACAACTTTATTATTTCATTTCATTAACATTCATCCAAATATTCAAGCGACTTCAGTATTTCAGTTCAATAACAAATTTGGTTTCCTGGACATTTCAATGACTTGGTGATACTAAGGGACCCTGAAGCGACCGATATTTCGAAAGAAGATATAAGGTGGACATTATGTTCATATCAGCAGTTTTGTTCTTATCTAGTACAAACGTCTCCTAATTAAATATCTATAAGATTTCCAGCAGTGATGGAGTACAGTGCATACATTCAGTTTGGCTGGTTAGTAGATACGTGGTGAGAGCAGGCTGCTAGCCAATTGGTAGACATTAATTTACGTCAATGTCTAGGTCACTAATATTGGCCGTGAGTAAATATGAACAAGGCTGATTCAACAACCAATCACAGCAGACTTAACGTGGGCAAATAAGATTCGCAGATATATGGCTTAACTTTCCGAGAAACCAGAAACAACCTATCAGAAGACTGTGTTTGTCTGCTTGAATAAGCTATAATAATGTACATGAAATATATATAAATACGTGCTGATTTCCGCAATAAAACGATCTGTTGCCGGCCCTTGTCTTCTGTTGTTACAGATATCCTGAAAACGTCATTGTATGTCACAATAAAGAGAAACTAACCTTCAAAGAAAAGAGAGAGCTTCCGTAACAAACTAACACTAGAGAGTGATCAAATCATGCAACTGACAGGCTGACAAGCGCACATTTTACGGCGTGTCGCTTTTCCTTATCTCTCGACCATTTTCACTTCATTTACCCACGATTAAAAGAGAAAATTATATGAACCCAACTTCACACTAAATATGCAAGTTTACCTAAAGTTGCGTAGATGCATATATGGCAAAGTTAAACTCTAAGCACCACTAACTACCAATCAGCGAATGACCGTGAACGAACCAATCAGGTGAAGGAGGCATTTTCGGGTATGGAATACATAGGGAGAAGTTCAACAACAGCGTCACAGGAGTGCGAACACTCCAATAACCTTGAACGCATTCTGCTCGTTGGCTCTCAATTAGAGGTTGGAGTATCAACCGAGTATAATTCCATTGTGGGTAATATTTATTTTGATAATCTCATAATGTCATACAGTAATATTTCCTGGGAGAAAAATTGTGCTCGAAACGTCACCAGTATATATGACTGTATAAAGCTCACTGTAATCTAACTCGAACCGACCATAATTTCGCCTAACTTGTCATAGGCTTAAACCGTAACTTAATCTTCCCAAAACCTAAGCTGAAACTTGCTAGAAATCCCATTTAATAATCTAACACTTCGATGTGCATATTTTATTGATGATGATAACATCTGCCAGGTTTCAGTGACTCGCTCAGTGAGCGTTTCAAGGTTATTGGTGCAGTCGCACTCCATTGGTAGTTAGTGGTGCTTAAAGTTAAACTTCGCCGCATATATAAGTAAAATAAATAGAACGTATCAGTGTCATTGCAAGAACATATCCCTAAGTGGTTATTCAGTCACTTAATCTGAATAGAAGTCTAGCAAAATCCATCGTAAAACACTCACTAGTGTCTGGTCACAAAATCGTATTCATGACTACCTCTCAATTATCTCATATTCAAGGTTATTAAAGGTGTAGACAGCATTTTAAATGCATCGTAAGCATTCTCAACTATGTGTACAGAAGACAAGAGATTTCAGTCTTTAACTAGCCTCGACCAGTTGACCTATCATCAAACTACGACTGCTTATCACTACTCACTTCTATATCATATAACTGATTAACTGTCAAGCATTTTATTACTGTCAATCATGCTGGCTGGTTGTAAGGTGATTGTAGAGAAACAACAAAATGATATCATCTCACAATACTTATCTTTAGAATGCTGGAATTTTCAGCTTTTTTAATTAATGTAAAAGGGTTGAGTTTGAAGAAAAACGAAAATCAATACAAAATGGTAGTACCAGAAGTAACAAAAAACGGAAGAAAAACTTGTCTTACTATTGCCTCCGATTACTTGTAAATTGGGATATGAAGATTTGAGACGCTTGATCATATCCAGCTGATAAATGCTATTACCTTGAGATGAATCCTAAAAGTGAGAATTTATTAGAAAACAAGGAGAATAAATATAAATCTAAAGCATTTCAGTGGTTCAGTCTAGTATAATGATGAGAAGACAACTAACTCACTAGGAATACAAAGCTGCTCATGTCAAAAACATGTATTGCATAACACTAGTCTCTCTTTCAAATGACATAAATGCATTGCTGTCTGTCCGTCTGTTTTCAACATAGAACTTTGCACATATGTGCGGCAGTTCAAGTCCCCACACTCCCTCCTTGTAGCACACAGAGCAAGAGAAGAAAGAAGAAGAAATGCATAGTAGAGACAGTAAAAAGAAGTGTGAAACAAAGAAATAGTAATAACGAAAAATAATATAGTTTCATTGGAAATCATAAGTCACAAGGAGTGGATGCATCTTCACCGGCCATTGAGAACGATTTTGAGCTAGCCATGTCACCAATTGTTTCCGACCTTTGGTTTTTACCGTCCCAAGGACCCCAACCAGGAAGCCAGTCTACACCTTCCTACTTGGCTCAGACTAACTGTTGTAGATTTCATTGACTGGTGCCATGTTTTGATTTGACTGCAGCTAGCTCTTTTCCAGCCTGACCCTATGTCAGCTAACATTGCCCACAGGTCGAGGAAGGCGATGACTAGGCATACGTAACACATGTCCTAACCATCTCAGTCGATGTATTTTCACAGCCTTGTCGACTGACTTCCCCTCCTTACCTAACACTCGACGCAGTGCATTTTGCAACTACAGATGACACGAATGAGGACATCATAAGCAGAATCGGAAAGACATGACAGAAATTCATCACTCTGATATCAGTTTGGAGATCTTCTAAACTCAGCAGCACAAAGAACAGGATTTGGATTTTCAACAACACCAATGTGTCAAGTCAGTCAGTTCTTCCATATGGGTCAGAAACTTCACGCGTCACCAAAATCATTTCCAACAGCCTGGTGTACACTTTTATCAACAGCTGCCTTCCCTCCATACTGAAGATTAGATGGCAGGTCAGAAAGAATTAACAGCAAGAAACTCTGGGAACGAACTAATCAAGAACCTGTTACGTAACAAATAACCCGAAGAAAACGGAGACAGATCAGATACACGCTGAGGAAACCGTTGGATGACATCGTTCACCAGGCGCTTCAGTAGAACCCAAGTGGGAAACGGCGAGTTGGGCTGAGGTCGAAATGTGACATGGAGGAGATAGCGTGAGGCGGAGATTAAACCTCATGAGCAATCATGAAGCCAGCTAAAGGGGACCTTAGAGAATAGAGCAAAGCGGATATGTGCTTTAAATCCCTATGATCCACTCGGAACCGAAGAGAATAATGACAATATATATTTCACTAATAAAAATAACCCTTATCCTGCAGCAATCTTCAGCAACCAGTTTAAAAAAATCGTGGAATGAAATCATATCGTTGAATAGACCAGTATTAGGAATAAACTCAACATCATACCAAATAGTTTCTGTATTTAATTAAACATGAATGATCAAGTTCTTAAAATTTATAGGGATCATTCGATTAACGTAAAGGCTAATTTCCTTACGAATAGAAATTAAATAGTGGTGCATCTTGATTTCTTATATTTCTTTCATTTCATCAAAGTCAACGATAGAGTCAAGCGTCGGATGCACGAGAATACTATTTCATGTGGGTATTTTTAGTGTTTCAAACGCAAGATACTGTTAAGCTATACTCTCACTAATCACCGGCTAGATTGTAGATACTCCTAGACAACGAACTTTAAAAAGGTTGCCTAATTTTTCAAGTCATGATTCGATACTGTTTGGCGGACTTCAGGAGTTATTTTAAAAAAAGATAGATACAGTATACAGCAAGTATCACATCAGTAATTACCTAACACTAAGAAGCATACTAATGAGTCAACTGTAGAATTTACTTTCCATATGCTCCTTTATCAACTTTTAAAAATGATTGAAGTAAATAGTGTATACAAGTGACTACCATACAAACGAACGTGTACAAGCAATATAAGTTGAATACTCAAGTATTGGTTTGTAGGGATTTGGTTGATTGGTTACAGGATTTGATTATGAGCTAACATTGGTTAGAGAACCATCGGAAAACCTGGGAGTACAGGACAGCTGTTTCGTCCCAGTTTAGGACTCTCCATCAGTACGGGCCCACTGGGTTTCGAACCCAGGACCTTCTGGTTACAAGGCCAGCGAGCTCGTAGACCATTAAGCCACTAAGACCCGGTTTAATGGCCCATGAATTCTAACTTGAATATCAATGAGATGCCCTATACACCTAGGTAGTTTTACCTGGGGTTCTAGTGGGAAGTCTTGACCAGTGGGGTGCAGCAGGTCGGGTGTGAGGAGAACTACTCGCCGAAGACATTGGCTAGAGGTCGCGCTTTGTCGTGAATTGGCAGAAGTTAGAATTCATGAGTTAGCCATCGGATCGGATCCCAGTGGCTTAATGGTCTACGAACTCGCTGACCTCGTAATCAGAAGGTCCCGGATTCGAACCCCTGTGGTGGGTGCGTACTGTGAAGAATCCCAAACAAGGACGAAACAGCTGTCCCGTACTCCCTGTTGGTTTCCAAATGGTTCTCTAACCCATGTCAGTTCATGATGAAATCCTGTAAACAAGTTTAATAATCTGTTGAACAGTTTATCAATTTAACCTCCCCTCTCTCATCCCATACAACTATACAAGCGAATTTAGCAGTGCAAAAATATTTTGTTTAAATTACAAAGTTTGTAATGCAACTTTTTGAAATATTAGTATGTGTTCAATAACTTTTCCACACAAGCCCAAAACAATAGGAAGTTTGAAATTATCGTAAACATGCGATATATATTAATGATAGTATGGTCCGATCACATGCAAACTTGTTATGCAAGCCAAATAGATCAATCACGTTTATTATGCTTATATTACTGATAGATTGTTTGCATGCTTTTCACTTTTCATAAAATTCATTTATCAAGTCCGTGTGTGAACAGATTTTTGTTTTCCTTAAAATTGTTTTATATTAACATGATCATGCAAAGTGTTCTCCTGATCACTACATCAAATTATACACCAGTATTTCTCAGTACTGCTAGAAATTAAGTCGACTAACTACGGAATAATAAGACCTTAATATCAGTAAAAAGTTTGAGCATTCTGGATTAGATCAAATAAAGTATAATTATATTTCAATAGTTTACACACGATGAAATGTTTTGCATCTTCCTTCATGGTTCGGAAAAGGTCAAATAAAATCCATACGAAGTTCTATTTGGCTCATTTGGTTGACAGTGGTCACCAAGTGGACAAAAATTGTGCTTTCAAAGTTATTTACCGCATTCCATCAAGTCTTTCGAACGGAATCAGAACCCGTCTTTTACACTTATCCGAAGCTATGGGAATTCGAGCGAACAATCCTAGTCTTTGTATACAAAAGAAATTTGTTCGACCTTTGTCTCTCCCTTGGCCTAAGTGAATTCTATTCAAAACCCTCCCAACCTTTTCTTATCATCCATCTCCTTCGTACTTTTATGATATTTATTTAAACTCTGATTATCGTTCCATTTGATTTGACCTAATTTATTTATTTATTGAATTGTCTACATATATGCATATACTAACTTTGTTATTCTTATCACCTATATAAGCCTTATTAAAAAAATTTTGTTATTATTATAATCAGTTAGAGAACCATTGAAAACCAGGGAGTACTGGACAGCTGCTGTTTCATCCTAGTTTGGGAATCATCGGCAGTACGCACCCACTGGGATTCGAACCCGGGACCTTCCGGTTACAAGGCAAGCTCGTATAACCATTCAGCCACTGGGACCCGATTCAATGGCTCGTGAATTCTAACTTCTACTAATTCGTGATTTAGCGCGACCCCAACCATTGTCGTTGGTGGGACATCCATCCACACACGTGACATCTAATTGGACCTCACTGGTCACGACTTCTCACTAGAACTCAGGAAACTCCAACGTGTAGCAAGTCACTAGCGAGCATCAGATCAACTTTCTATAGTTTGGTTTGTAAGGATTAGTTATGTTTTACGGGTTGATCACGGATTGATATCAGTTAGAGAACCATTGAAAACCAGGGAGTACTGGACAGCTGCTGTTTCATCCAAGTTTGGGAATCATCGGCAGTACGCAGTACGCGGAGATTAAACCTCATGAGCAATCATGAAGCCAGCTAAAGGGGACCTTAGAGAATAGAGCAAAGCGGATATGTGCTTTTAAATCCTATGATCCACTCGGAACCGAAGAGAATACGTGTACTAACCATCTGAATCAGTGTAACTTCACAGCCTTGTCAACTGATTTCCCCTTCTTAGCTAACACCCGATGGCTAATCTCAATATTGCTCACTCTATTATACCGCTTAACACGGGAGATAGAACGCAGACACCTATGATCAAAGACAGATAATCTTTTCATGCCTTCCACTCTCAATGGATATGTCTCACAGCCATAAAAGAGGACGGAGCGAACTGCTGCGCAGCACACACATCGTTTTATCGATCACGGCTACCCCAGAGATGGCGTATGTTGGCGAGTACCACAGGACCATTCTATATCCCTGCCGAGGTTTCGTCGACAATTAACCCGCTGGAGCTGATGCAACTTCGCAAATAAGTGAAGTGGTCAACACGCTCTACCGCTTCACTTCCTATCTCTAAGCTAGGAGTCAATACAGTCCAGTCCAGTCCAGTCCTGTAGCGTCATCTTACATTTGACAGGAGCTGGACGGTTTAACTGCCAAGCTTTCACTGTCCTTCTAGACAATACCTTCACAGCGTATCATTTACGGATAATTCAGATAAGTTCACTTCATATTGAAGTATGTGATAAAAATGTTGTCAAGATGGACACTGAAAGCTTCACAAGCAAACCAGACAAATAGAGTTGCGATGCAGGAATTTGTAATCTAACTTGATTATTACGCTAATAGAGAAGATTTGTAGTCCAAGTGAATGATTCTACTTTGGTTGTTTTCTCTGAGGTGTTTGGTCTAACTGCGAAGCTTCCATCGTCTTTCAAGACAGCGGCTTCAGTGCTAGTTTTAATATAAAATGAACCTGTTTGTATTCTCTATGAATGATATTAAACGTATCTCATGGCAACCACTATCGTAACTGGTTGTCAACTTACATCTTTATTGGTCATTGTTATCGACTTGGAGTTTGAACTTTCTTGGCATGTGATTGACTTTTTGTTATTTGATAAATCTGATCTATGGTAACGTGTTTGTTAATTATTGATTTATTTGAGTGCTAGGCTTCTAGAAATTCCCTGGCAATTTTGATGTTCCCTCTATGACGTCAAGGATTGAGTTTCTAGTAGAAGTGGTGTTATTAATTTTTATGCGGTTGGGTTACTATCCTCACGTCCAACGCCCTTTTCTTTATCTAACCTACTACCACCGGCTAAGTGAGGTTTAGGAGTGCATCAGCGAGGAATTGGAACATGGACCACATGCATACGGTTGGAGAGCATTCTAGTGATGAGTCACCGACACTAACTACGAATAAATATCTTCGTCTGACTCATATCATCTTATCGTAACACTGGACTATGTCTGCAGTTTCCTTCCACCAACCTTCAGGTGAGCAGTCTTAAGTAAAAAAAGCTATTTTATTCAGGAAAACGCCATACCCAACAATATCAAAATCTTGATTAGTGTATTGAAATGGCAGCTGTCACTAACCGATAACTTCTCTGTTGACCTCCTGAAGAACAGATGTCCACTTCATATTTAGAAATTCACAGTAATAAAAACATCATTTCTTCTCAATTTTATCGATACAAATATGACTACCATTCAGAATGAAATCCTTAGATGATATACATGATTTTATGATATGATGTGATTTTCGATATATTCAAAATACAACTCAAGGAAAACATCGCACTTGTAAACAAAGCATATATGTTTAATTGGTGGATGGCGACTAGCAGTGGAATCTAGGATGCGCATTTCACCCTATTTGGGACTCGTCATCTGGATTCACCTACATTTATCAGTGAGTGATGATGTTCCCACTGAGGCTCGAACCCAGTGCCCATAGTTTCAAACACCAGCCAAAGCGTTATCCACTAGACCACTTGGGCCACGAGAGTCACCTCTTGTGCAACCAGGTCATATTGATTTAATTGAATTTTAGATTTTCCCGGTGGGGACATCATCACGAGTCCCAAATAGGACGGAATGCGCATCCTGGATTCCACTGCTAGTCACCATCCACCAATTAAATGCTAATTAACTGCCTAGACATCGTCGAAGCATCTGCTCAAGAAGCCAACATGTCAACCTGAGACCTAGCACTTCGGTCCTATCAATCGACGGGAAAACATAAAATTCAATTAAAGCACATATGCTTTTCCACAACTCTTATCCGGTTCTACAGTAACATATCCAAAATATTTAGAGCAATATTGTTATTGTCATAATTATTTTTTAGAATAACACCAGTCAGACTTTCCAAATTTCATTCATTTCGTTGCCTTGTAAAGTTTCAACAGCGACCCATGAAAATTATAGTTCACAAAATTGAGAAGTAGTTCAGTGAGTTGGAATCACTTATATGAATGACTGATCAGTGTAGTCGAAATTCGGTTAGCAAGGAAGTGAAAAACTGACTGCACTCTCTTTCTGTATGTTTAAGTTTGGTTCGAGATGTTTGAGTGCAACTGGTTCAGCAAGTCGTAGTAAATTTGCTGTCATTTCTTATGTTTCATAGTTTGGAGGATTTAGGAATCTTGACGAATTGACCCGTATCCACTAGGTGTCCAGTGATTGCACTTTGTGAATATCTCCTTCTTTTTAGACATAAGTTTCTTGAGATATGCTGTGAAAATCGGATACAAGCCCGTCTTTCTGTCCTTTCAATCTACTTGTTATAATTGACATCAGGAGAGTACTTATCCAGTTTTGACTGGTTTAAAGAGCATGTGATGCTGTATGGAGTTACGACCTTAGCTGCAGAGAAGCATCTTTTAATTGCTGCTTTCATTCTGTTGTCTATCTTTTTTGATACTATCTCTCCTTCGAATGAAAGACAACTGAACACTTGCCTATTTTCAACAGTTGGATGCTTTGTTTTCTCGTCCTTTTCTTTGCTGTACATTTGGATAAACCGCTTTGGATAGTCATCTTCTCTTAGGCACTTTTCAAAACATCTTAATTCTTCTTCTATTTTGTTATGTGAACCTAGCTTCCTGGCTCTGTACCACAGTGTTCACACTAATCTACGCTTATAACGTATAGGACAGTAACTGTTTTACTGAAGATATTGCCCGGTTCCGGTTTCTTTTCTGTAGATCAACTTCTTCACCGTACCGTCGTTTCTTCTTCTTACGTTATGGCAGAAGAAATTGAAGTAATCGTTGTGTTTATATTCCATGCTGAATTGTATTTTTGAGTGCATTCCGTTGAGACGGTCAAATAATACAGATGCCTGACTCCTATGGTTACAAAATAACAAACATGTCAGTGACACATCCGTAATGACGGATTCTTTCATTGACAGCAGAACCCAGACGCTTCTTTTCAAGATAATCCATCGAGAAATCAGTCAGGATATGTTCAGAAGGTGAACCCATGACTATCCCATCAGTTAGTCAGTAAAACTGAATTGGATGTCTTTTATGCACAGAAGTAGTAGACGCTTCATCTCTGTTTCCGGTTGTGGTAATAAGTTTGTTTGCTTGTTATCGATTGTTTCGATTACTGGTACATTTGTAAATAGGGCGGACACGTCATATGACACCATTGGTTTACTTGATGTATCGACATAGTCCACTTCTTTAGAAAATTGGAAGGTACCACTCAAGCTATGAATTACAAATAAATCAGCCAACCATGACATGGTGAAAGCTCTGATTCAAAACGATGGTTACGGAAAGCGTACTAAAATGCTTTACTCTAAATGTATGAATAATTAACATGTCGGGAAATTCTTATGACGGGAACTACGACCAAGTAGACTATAAGCGAATACTAACTTAATGCACCAGCTAATATATTTTAATGTCATGCCAACAACACTAACAACAACAATAACGCCGCTGGCACGCAAAGAAAACAGAATAGAGTGGATGTCGATAAGAGGGATATTACTATCTCAAACAACAGTCAAAATGCTAAACGGAAACTCTGTATATACATACACTTAGAATGACCTTGAAAATGCAGTGATTCAGTGATGCATCAAAGGTATTAGCATCCAACAGGAATCTAGCAATCCAAACAGAGGGGAGAAAGAGGGCTCACGGTAGTGAGGTATAACTCCCTAAAATAAATATTTTAAAGTTTCAAGCAAAATTAGGCGAAACTAGGTGTATATGACAGAAATAAGTACTAATGAATTAACATTTAAATTACAATTCAAGTTTGATCACGGACTGATATCATTTGGAGAACCATTAAAAGCCAGCGAGTGCTGAATGGTTATTTCGTCCTAGTTTGGGGTTCTTCACCAGTAAGCACCCACGACCCCACAGAGGTTAGAAACAAGGACATTCTAGTTGAGACGTAAGCTCGTAGACCATTAAGCCACTGATACCCAATCCAATGGCCAATGAATTCCAACTTCCACCAATTCCTGATTTTAGCCCGACTGGAACCAGCCAGTTTCATCGTAGACTATTTGTCCTAACTCCCGACCATATAAAACATATTGATCACAACTTTTCACTGGAACCACAGGCAATCTCGTCGTTTAGCCAGTCACTAGTGAGCATCAGAATAATTTCGAAGAATTAATCTGCATTGATTTAATTTGTTCCAGGTTTGATCACGGAATGATGTCAACACTCAACAACAACAACAAAATTCGGTCGTATCTTCAATACAAACGTCAGGTCAGTCAGTTCTTCTATACGGATCAGAAACTTGGCGAGGGGGGAGGGGCGGGTCACAAAGAATATTTCCAACCAACAGACTGTTGCAGACCAGACCTTCATCAACAAGTGTCTTCGCTCTATACTGAAGATCAGATTGCCGGGACGGAGAGAATCACCAACAAGAAACTATGGCTGGGAACAAACAAAACAAGAACCAATCGCCAACCAACAAATATGCAGAAGAAAGTGGAGATGGATCGAACATTCGCTGACTGAGGAGGCCGCTAGGTGACATCGCGCGCGCATCAGGCCATTTCTCGAGTGGAACCAGGCCGAAAGGGAAGCGGCGAGTGGGACGTGGGTGCAAGAGTGACATGGATGAGATCTTGTGAAGAGGAGGTGAAACAGTATGGACTAATATGGATGCAGGTGAAAAGTACAACAGAAGACAGAAGTGGCAAGTGGAGACGTGCAGTTGAAGCCCTATGTTCCACTAGGAACCCAGGGGAGCAATAATAATAAAGAACCACTGAGACCCAGAGAGTACTGGGCAGGTGTTTTCTCACAGTTTGGAACTCCTCGGCATTACGCACCAAAAATAAAACGAAACAGATATCCAGTATTACGCGGTTTCCAATGATTCACTGACTGATACCATTCCTTGATCAAACCTGAAACAAATCCAGTCCCTATACATGAACTCTTGAGAGGTTTATTTTAAGTGTTGCATCTAGTTAGATAGTGTCGATATTATAGTTTATAACCTGTAATAATCTGAAAATTTGTCAGATAACTCTGCAATTAACCTTTAACTATTGTATATATTATCTGATTGTATTCACCCACAGGATAGCACTCTGTCAGAACATTATATTTTTCACGTTTTGATGCTGGAAAAGTGAAAACTGACGGTTTTTAAAGTAAATAACTGAGGTTTTTTTCTTAAGGAGAATGAGTTTCGCAGTCTAGTACTGGAAACCAGGATATACATTTCGCCTTATATGGGGTTCATCAAGTGGATATACCTGTATTCCTCGGTGAGTGATGGTGTTCCCAATGAGACTCAAACCCAGTACCCATAGTTTTAAACTCCAGAGCATCATCCATGAGAACCACCTGACGAGTCTTACCCCAGCTTTCCCTGTTGCTTTACTGTGTAACATAGCCAGTTTTGATAAACCAATTCTCATTAGACTATGTAGCTATCAGAGCTACAAATACACCATCATTTCCAACAAGGTAGTAAGTGCTCATCAACATCATATATTTAGACAATCTTGGACAACAGAAGAAATCAAAACAACGGAACGATTTCAATTTGTCATTATTGCGCTCTGCTCTGAACTTGCGATAAAATTTGACACAAAAATGATAAGCTATACAAAAACTCTAGAAATTAATAGCATCAAATGGATCGATTAGGTAACTGCATCCCAAACACAAAACACACAACTGCACAAAGCGTAGCTAAGCAACAATAAACAAATACAAACATGAAAATACAACACAGAGTACACACAGAATTAGATAATTCATCAGAATATATTGACGAATAGTGTGATGATCGGTTACTTCAGACTGGTGAACAAGTGGAATTAGAACAAGCGTTTTTCATACCTGCAGAGAAAACAAAACATTTTAATTGATAAATATTTGATTATAGGAACGTATTACTTTTTAAGGTTACATATTCAAATGTCTTGTTATAATGTATACGCCTAATTCTACTTAATTTTTCTGCCTGACCTAAAAATAACTCGAATTTATTGTCTTCAGACACTCATGGTGTCTTTGTGTTCCCCAATCTTCTTGAAGGCTAGACTACAATCGATTATTAACTTCATAATTTTCAGTGAATTTAGTGCCTTTCAATGTTATCCAGCAATAGCTTTTAACTGTTATTTATGACAATAAAACCTGTCTGTCAATGACCCATCTTCTCGACTTATTTTCGCTTTGTTGTGGTCATTGACACTATGGATGGCAAATTGAGTATTATATATTCCTACTATTATTCCCTTTGGTTCTGTGTGGAACATAAGGTTTCAACAGAGTGTGTGAAATTCATCCTGTTCTCAGTAGTTGCCTTTAGCTGGCTCCACGATTGCTCATAAGCTCTCATCTCCTCTTCACACGACCTCCTCTATGTCACCTTCAGACTCACATCCAACTTGTAATTTCCCAGTCAGGTTCCACTCGATGGCCTAAGACGTCAAGTCGCCTAGCGGTCTCTTCAGCGTGTGTGTCTAATCCATCACCATTTTCTTCAGCATATCTGCTAAGCAATAGGTTTTCGGTTGTGGTACGTTCCCAGAGTAATTCGTTGCAAATCCATCCTGGTCAACTATTTAATAAACGTTATGCAGCGAGAGGGTCTCTTGATAAAAATCTGAAGACTGTTCGAAACTCTTTTGCCGAAATGCCAAGTCTCTGAACCATATAGAAGAACTGATATGAAATCACTGCTTAAAATACGAATATCATTCGCTAAACTTAGTAAAACAAATTTCCAAATTGACTTTAGAGTAATGAAGTTCTGTCTTGCCTTTCCGATCCCACCTTTGACATCCTCATCCGTACTGTTGCCTGGTAGTTGAAATGATGCAGCCTAGATAAGTAAAAGAAGCGAGTTCCTTCATCCTTCCTTCTTCCATAGGTGGTGATTCACGCTCTCTGTTCCTGATTAGGTATCGTCATTAAATCTGTCTTCTCTATGTTTTATTTGTAATCTTGTCTTCGCCGCTTCTTCTGCCAACTCGTTGGTTCTGACCTGTAGAGAAGGTTTCTGTAATACTTTAGGCTTACATAATTTGAAGTTCACCAGGGCATATTACCGGCCATATCAACACATATCGATTTAAAGATCCACTGAACTAATCAGTTATTAAAAATTTTATTCAATCACTAAACACAAATCGATGAAAGCAAAAAGGTTTCATTTTAATCTTGGTTAGACTAATAATATTAACCATATTACATTATTTAAGCACACAGTTAAGATTTTGAATTGATGCCTAAATAACAAGAAAATGATAGTAATAACGAAACGAAAACGTGAATCAAGATAAGTCTCGAGACTTTTGCATTGGAATCCTGCCAAAACCCAAAATTTCCACTTTGAAGTCAATCATAATCTCAGTACGCTGAAATCCATAAAGGCATGCATTCAAATTACATTAGTGCCTTATAATAGGTTATATCCAGTATTTTCATGTAGTTGTGTTCTCTGAGCTGAATGGTTTATTGAGAAGCTTTCATTGCCCTACTCCACTAGGCAACAAATTCAGCGCATATTTCAATTTGATGAAGTGAACTTTTAGATTTCTCCACGAGTTTATTAGTCATCTCTGCTGGTGACTTTGAACGCCGTGATTAGTTGTTTTCATGTGTTTTCACACCCTCTAGGCTATTTGTATTACTATTGGTTGTTTCCTTGACCTGAAGTTTCACCTTTTGTGTGTGAGATTCCTTCTTATCGATTGGTAAATTTTGTCTATCTCGATGTGTCTATTGATTGACGATTCACTGGAATAACAAGATTCTAAAAATTCTCTAGCATTCTTGGTATTTCCTCTGTCTCATATTTGAACGTTGTCCTAGTCGAATTGATGTTCGTGGTTGTCTTTATGAAGTGATATGAGGGGGTGGATATCATGTCTTTTGACGGCTAGTTTATGATCATGGATACGAAGACTAAGGAGACGTCTACTTTGTTTTTCGCAGCTGTTATAATATATTCCGTAGATGATGTTGGTTTTATCTTCTTTCGTTGTTGAGTCTTTTGGTTGACACAGAGCTGAGTGAAGTGATTTTTTTGGTTTGTGTGTGATGGTAATTCCTAAAGGTTTGAAGAGTCTTGTAGTGATTTCTGAGATATCCTTTATATATGGCAGAGCAATTTTATTTGTGTTTTCCTTGAGGGCTTTTGATTTGGTACGTTGGCTTGGGGGTAGATACCTTTTGATGAAGTTCCGTGGAAGACGTCCATGAGATATGTTTCTTCAATTTTCCTTAAGTTAGGAGTGTTGCAATGAATCGTGGCCCTTTTGAATAATGTTTGTATACAACTCATTTTGCAAATAAACCATCCAGCTCAGAAAAAACAACTGCATCAGAAGCATCTACCTGAGCTACAAATCTTCTTCATGGTATATCCAGGATGTTGGAACCAAACACAGTTACACTTATGACCATTTAGTTAGCGCCATACCTGTAGAAACAGTCATGTGCAAATTAATAACACAATAACTACTATTACCATCCACCTAGTTAGATAAATGAACTCTATCTAATGGGATGCGAGATGTAAATTAACATGTAAATAAGTAAACAATTTAATGATAACATTATTACTATCATGATTTATTTAAAATCATTCAGTTTAATAAAATTAAATATAAGTAGAACCTACGAATGTAAACTGTGCACTCCACCTTCAATTTGAGCCGATGGACTTCGATGTTCAAAGCGTAATTTCCCATTTTGTGACATTTCATACAATTCAGTTATATTTCTAGCACCAACTTGTTGTAATCCATGTTTAACACCCGCGACTAGATAGGGTACAAGTTGGTGTACAGATCCTCTGTCTACAATTGTCCCTGAAACACCCTGAGCAACTTTAACACGATCCGATTCACTGAAATATCTAGCCTGACTTTCTGTATGCTGAGACATAGCCTCCAGACTTCCCATACCTAGAGGAATTGCAAAAGAAAGATAAGTCTTAGTGTGGTGAACCCAAGGGAATAATATTAACAGAACTAATAAATTTTATTCTACTAATAAAAATACGATGGAATGAATAACCAGACACTTTAATCTGAACACAACACTTGAAAACGATACACTAACAAGAATTAAGAGAATAAAATTATAACCTTCAACGCGTTTGTCACCGCCTTACCGTCAGGAATATTTTAAAGAAACCTTAATGAAAGTAATAAGAAAGTTCAGACGTTTACAAAAGCAACGATCATATCACTTTCACAATTAAATTACAATAAGTATTTACTTTCTCAGGATGAACATCGCTGTCGTTTCCGGATGGGGTTAGTTACTTCGCCTCTAAATAGGGGCTTTCAGTACACATCGAAGCAACTGGGCATGTAGTCGCTTTAAAGCTGCTTGTTTCCTATGACCGTTCAGCCCTCGACCAAAATGTGAACAAACTAGTACATAATCGGCGTTCACACAGGCGTTCCAGGCGGACCAACCTTCTCCACGGATAACATAAGATTAACGAACAGAAAATATTACATAATTAAAACATCTGAAAAGGGCTTATCTTTACTATCCATTACCTCTGTACTTTTTCAGTCGTATACCATCCGAAAATACATATTCTCCAGGTGACTCAGTTGTTCCAGCTAAAAGTCCACCCATCATAACTGCAGATGCACCAAAACTCAAAGCTTTAACAATATGTCCAGCATTTTGAATCCCTCCGTCAGCAATCACAGGAATATCGTACTTGTGAGCATATTCAGACACCTACGAATATGTTTTTTTTAAAAACAGAGCACATAACAAAAACTGTATATTAACTAACAAGACACTAAAGCATATTAGATATACATGTCTTCTTCAGTAACATGTATTTATTATCAGACTAAAAGTTGGGTAAATATAGAGATTATTTTGATATATTACTGATTTGATGTTTTTGTTTACTTTGCTTTTGTTTATTTTACTCGATCATCAAACGTGTACTAACGGGATAGTAGAATGAGGCAATAATTAGTAGCAGAAATGTTTATTTGGCGCATAATGATATACCGAATACGGCAAAATACAAAAGCCTAAAGTTGAGACTTTATTCCGCCAAACTAATTCGTATTCTAGTGTCAATTTGTAGGGATTTGATTGGCTACGGGATTTCATCATGAGCTGACATTGGTTAGAGAACCATTGGAAAACCAACAGGGAGTACTGGACAGCTGTTTCGTCCTAGGTTGGGACTCTCCATCAGTACGCACCCACCGGGGTTCGAACCCAGGACCTTCTGGTTACAAGGCCAACGAGCTTGTAGACCATTAAAGCCACTGGGATCAGACACAATAGCCCATCAATTCCTGAAATGGTAGAAGTTAGAATTCATATACAAGCCATTCAATCGGTCGGGTCCCAGTGGCTAAATGGTATACGAGCTCGCTAGCCTTATAACCAGAAGGTCCTGGGTTCGAACCCCTGTGGTGGGTGCGTACTGTGAAGAGTCCTAAACTGGGACGAAACAGCAATCCAGTACTCCCTGTTGGTTTTCCAATGGTTCTCTAACCAATGTCAGTTCATGATGAAATCCTGTAAACAAATTCGTATTCTACTTCTTTTGTCTACATTCCTTGCCTCCTATACTGTGCTTCACAAATATATTTCATTTTTCCTCCTCACAATTTTATCCATTGCTCCGATATATATATACATATTTGTGTATTCAATGTTATCAACAGAAGACATCACACATAATGTACTACTTACGAATTCTAATCAGTACCATATGCAACACATGGTAAAGACACTGTCTAACTATATATCATTCAGCTGTACAGTCTACTACGCAGATATCAAACACCATTAACAAGTAAGTGAGCACTTTCAAGATTGAGCATAACCAAACACAACAGACACTTGGTCACAAAACTGTAATATTCAGAGCGAAGTAGATTCATACGACACAATCTTTAAACCACTTTAATTGATATTTTTATTCTTATTTTTATTTTTGATTTACAGCTTGATTCCACACTGTATTTTTGGTACAAGTGTGGAATTTTCAGCATGGATATCGGTAGCCCAAATTTTGTAGGCCGACCATAGAGATCAGGTGTGCATCGGCGTGGGCTCGAACCCCGGACCATGTGCATGATTGGCGAAAGTCCTAACCACTATGCCACCGACGCACTATAAATCCACTGTATCTTGATTCTTCACGTATTCCTGTGCACAATATTTCTCTGAAGACAATATCAAGGTGTCCTTGATATGATTATTTGCAATAAATTGTGCTCAAAACGTTGTCATCAGTAAACACTACTGTATAACACTGTGAGACTTTATCAAAACAAAAATTTACCTATAATGGAATTACACTCTACCATAGTGCACAAGTTTTATTCTTATATCAAAATAGACTTAGATCAAGTTAAAAGGACATATTGAAGGTCAAAATAACAATGAAGATCACTAAACCAAACACCAAAGGTAATTGTACATCTGTTATGATATCAAAAGAAAGTTTACTAACTTGATCACCATTCGTAAGTATGGGGTCATTTTTCGTTGTCAAGTTGGTCAATGGGTCAAGATAACAAAACCAAGTGTAGATTGTTGGATTTGATCACTGTATAAAATTATGAAAGCAGTGTGTGTGTTTACATAGTGAACTTGCTTATCACATTCGTGTTGATTTTGTCACTTCATGGGGAAGCGAGGTGTTGTAACCAGGTCAAATTCTGTTTCAGTCCATCATTCCTATTCAGACAATTTGGATTCCACTTGATATGAAGTGCTTCTGATATTAGACGTTCTTTGTGATTTCTGAAGTTTTTCTGGATGATGATTTCAATATTGTCAAAATCAATTTTGTGGCCTGATTCTACAGCGCAGCGTGTAGACCTATGGCTGATGATTTTTCAAGTTTTTCTAGTTCATCCGGATTTCTCGTTGGTCGAACAGATGCTCTACGGTGTTCATTTCTCCTGATTTTGATTTCTCGAGATGTTTGTCCGATGTATATCGCATCACATTTCAAGCATTTTATTTTATAGACACTATTATATAGAGATATCATAACAGATGTATTATTACCTTTGTTATTTGGTTTAGTGATCTTCATTGTTATTTTGACTTTCAATATGTCCTTTTAACTTGACCTAAGTCTATTTTCACACCTCTTAACTCTTTATTATATATATGCTGAGATTTTGTAAACTCCGGTTTAATAATACTTTGATAAAGCTATTAGCATTAAATAGCCACACATTTTGTTTTTCATTTACTTGGAAATACAAAACCTTTATTGTAATGAACATCCTATACCCAATGCCCAAATATTTTCAAACTGCTAAAAGTGAATTATTGAATAGAATTTTTGATTTTCCCGTCGACTGATTGGACCGAAGTGCTCGGTCTCAGGTTCACATGTCGGCTTCACCAACTGTATACTAATTAAATGCCCAGACATTGTCGAAGCATCTGCACAAGAAGCCGACATATCAACCTCAGATCGAGAACTTCGGTCCAATCAATCGACGGGAAAATCAAAAATTCAATTCAATAATAAATACGACCCGTTGCACAAGAGGTAACTCTCCTGGCTTTGGCGTTTGAAACTATCGGCACTGGGTTCGAGCCTCGATGGGAGCATCATCACTCACTGAGAAATGCAGGTACATCCAGCTGACAAGTCCCAAATAGGACGAAATGCGCATCTTAGATTCCACTGCTAGCCACCATCTACCAATTGTATGCTAAAAGTAAACTTGGTTTGGACGTATATGACTTCAAGAAATTAACTTGACCTCAGTAAAACGCTATATTTGCAGTGTATAATAGGGAATTTCTGCATACCCACCTTATAAACAGCTTTAGCTTGTGATCTTCCAATAGCTGTAACTTCTTGAGTAATACAAATTGACCCGCTACCCATTCCAACACGTAAACCATCAGCGCCCGCATCGATTAGGTTTTTTGCTTGAGCACAAGTAACAACTTGAGTAGTAAAAACAAAACAAAAAAAACAACACGACAGGTGATAAATAATCATTCTTAGACGCGTATACAAAATGTTTTCAAGATAATGTGAAGGTGATAAATAATTAATTCAAACAACAGATAATTATCAACAAAGCACGAAACACCTAACACGTTTAACGAAGTTATCTGCGACAAAATGTCAACTTTTTCAAAAAAGATTTATCACTGAGAAAGTCTACATCGCGTCAAAATATTCAGGTAAATTCTTACCGGACATCACTAACAATATGCTTTTCTATATGTTTTCTACATCATAATGAGAAAGAAACTGAAATATAAAGTGGAAAAACATCGAATTTCATAATATTCAGAACTTGAAAAACAACCATGAATAGTTTGCCTACTTATGAGTAGGTCACGAATACATCACAAACAATTTGTCAGACATCGAAAAACCAACGATTTTAGTTGTTGATGATTATGGCCACTTTATTGCATTACAGAAACTGATTTTTAAAAAATGGAAACTACGTTCATCTTTAATGAGCATAGGAGGACTAATAATGACATTAGAACCTGTATCATTTATACGAAGATGGTACCAAATACCATGTTCATTGCAGACACTGAAACACAATCCGTATGGCATTTTACAATTTAACTGTCTGTCTGTCTGGATTCAACATAGAGCTTGGCACCGAAGTGCAGCAGTTCGAGTTGCCACGTCCCAAATAGCACACAAAGGGAGACAAGAAGATGAGTGAAGAGAATCAATAAATTTGACAAGTATAAGAGTGAAACAGAATGGGTAATGGTAGAAAGGAATATGAAAGATTACAGAGACTGAATACATCTGCGCTGGCATTGACAACGATTTTGAGCCATGTCACCTATTGTCTCCAGCCATTGATTCCTAGAGTCCCGAGGGCCCCAACCCGGGAGTCTGCATCTCCCTACCTGACTCAGTTTAACTGTCAAGGATTTCATGGATTGATGAGGCCATGTTTTTATTTGGCCACCATTTACTCTTTTCCAACCTGCACCTATATCAGCTAGTAATGCCCGTCGGGGAAGGCGATGGTTAGGCATGCGCAGCACGTGACCTAGCCATCTCAGTCTATGTAACTTTATAGCCTCGTCGATTGATTTTCCCTCTTTGCCCAACACTCTACGCCTAACGTCAACATTACTTACCTTATTATACCACCTAACGTGAGACAGAGATCGTAGACATCTATGATCGAAAGCAGTCAACCTTTTCATGTCTTCAACTCGTATTGGCCATGTTTCAGAGCCATAGAGAAGGACGGAGCGAACTGATGAGCAGTACACACGTCCCCTGGTTGATAGCCGGATGTCACGCCTACGCCAGAGATGGTGTAAGTTAGCGAAAGCAGCTCGAGCTTTTTGGATCCTTGCTGAGATTTCGTCGCCAATCAGTCCGTTGGTGCTAATACAACTTCCCAAATAGGTGAAGTGGTCAACATGTTCTATCACTTCACTCCCTATCACTAAGTTAGGGGTTGACGTGGTCCAGTCCTGTAGCAGCATCTTACATTTTGTAGGGGCGAATCGCATGCCAAACATACGAAGATTACTGCTCAAGGTGTTCAGAAAACTCTGCATTTTGTCAGCATCCTCCCCTAACAGGACTATGTCATCTGCATATTCTAAGTCCATAAAACTATTCCCTGGTAACAAGTCGATTCCTAAGTCATTACGTTCAGTTAAGGATACTTCCATCAGCATATCTATGATGAAGTTAAACAGAAATGGGGAGAGTGGACATCCCTGTCGGACACCACTGATTGTTACCAATTCAGATGACAATTCCCCATAAGCCCTTACATGGCTACATGAGTTTGAATAGAGTGCCTTGATTAGTGCAATGTACTTTCTTGGCACTCCCTTCACAGTCAGACATTGCCATAGTACCTTTCAATCCACGGGGTCGAAGGCCGCCTTCAAGTCAAGAAATATGGTAATTGTTGGACGCCGAAAAATGTGTCTATGTTCTAGAATCTATCGAAGAGTGAAGATATGATCTATGCACCCTCTACCTGGTCTAAAGTCTGCTTGATTTTCCCTCGTCTGTTCCTCCCGAGTTCTGCTTAGTCTGTGCATGATTACTGAGCCTAGGATTTTAGAGACTATGTTCGTTAGGCTGATCCCCCTATGATTATCACACGAGGACTTGTTTCCCTTCTTGAATATCGGTATAATAAGTGACTTACCCCAGTCTGATGGAACTGTCTCTGATTCCCACACTTTGCCTAGTACCTCAGTTAATCTACAAACTAGTATGTCACCCCCATATTTAAACACCTCCGGAGTAATTCCGTCGGGTCCTGCCGCTTTGCCTCGTTTCAAATTACTGATAGCTTTTGTGACCTCACTTACAGACGGCGGACCAGTGTCTATATCCCATTCGGGTGTGTTCTGAATGTCGGGGAGGTTCAGTGTGGCTGTAGGCAAGTTAAACTGTCCCTCAAAGTGTTCTTTCCAGCGTTCAAGGCGTCTATCATGCGAGCTAATTAAGAAGCCATTTTTCTCAGAAATAGTCTCGCTTATGATTTGCCTTCTCCCTCCCGTTTCCCTGATCAGTCTAAAGAGTTGCCTAGTGTTGCTTTTTCACAATTTAACTGAGTAAAAATGCCCATTAAAATTTTCAAAAGAATGGATACTGAACAAAGAGTACTCTTTTCGATAACTTCATCATCAGGCTCTACAGTTATATATACACTACGGTGAATAGATAAATTAGTGTTATGAACAACATTCATGTTTAAATAACATTGAATCAATAATAATATGGATAGATTACAGCTCAATAGCATCCGACCGAAAGCTGCTACCTTGACGTGGTGGTCGGGCTTGAACACCGCAATGACCTAATCAAGCTATACTGGCTGAGACTTATGTCTCTTGAGGTTCTACCATGCCAGGCAGGTTGTTTGGATAGCGGTTAAACAAAAAGCAGCTACCCAATCCAACATCATGTCCAATACAAAATTACAAAATTTCATGCCGGATCGGCCGTGGCCCGGATTAACAACGACCGCGCTTCCTGCTGCCGTGTCACAGGGCGGGAGTGATAAATCTGCTACTGAGACACACCAAACAAAAAGAACAAACAAAAACAGGCCGCGTGTGACCGGCCTCAAGCAGTTGTCCCCTGGGCTCTGCGGTCACGCAACCAACTTCCACGGTGTGGGCAGCCGGGAAGTAACAATCGCCCTCACAATCCGAAATGCACACGAAACCTCTCTATTACTCACTCATCTTTGTCTTCATCTTCATCTCTATCATCTTGCCTTCCTTCCACTGATGCAACTCCTCGACTTGATAGCTCTCCACTTCCTCTCCACTCTGCGTCCACTAAAAACGATGGAAGCCAAAAAACCACCACCGACAGCCTCTTAAAGCCGCGCCACCAATTTCATATAGGAGCTCTTAATGTTAGGACACTTTGCCAAATAGGACAACAAGCATCACTAGCCAAGACCCTGGCATCACGAGCCATTGATGTATGCTGTGTTTCAGAAACACGCATACAAGACCCAAGTGTGGTTATTCACCTAACCCCACCTGGCCAACAGGTTGAATCTGCAAAATTCACCTTGAGGGTGTCAGGAGATGCCACAGCTAGTTCACGAGGATTAGCTGGCGTAGGGATAGCTTTGAGTACTAGGGCAGAAAAGACATTGCTTGACTGGATCCCGGTAGATAGCCGAATGTGTGCTGTCCGCCTGAACGGATCAGTAAGAAGGAGGAAGGACTGCACTACTCGCCGATGCCTTTTCGTAATCTCCGCCTACGCCCCCACTGACTGCAGTTCAGATGAAACGAAGGATGAGTTCTACCAAAAGCTGTCTAGTTTGGTGAGAAAGGCTAAACGCTCAGACATAGTCGTTCTAGCTGGTGACTTTAACGCTCAAGTAGGGAAATTGTGTCAATCTGAGAAGGATGTCGGTGGCACCTATGGAGTTCCGTGCCAGCGAACCGACAACGGTGACCGTCTCCTACAGTTCTGCTCTGATAATCATTTGTTTCTTGTAAGCACTAACTTCAAACACAAGGAGAGACACTGTTTGACTTGGAGACCCCCTTCATCAAACCAACGCTGGACACAAATAGACCACATAGCAATAAGCTATCGTTGGCGTGGGTCGGTAGGAGATTGTCGCTCCTTCTGGAACACGTGCGTAGATACCGACCATGCACTGGTCCGCGCTCGGGTGTGCTTACGACTGAACGGACGTAGGAAACAGCTGGCGGTAAAACCATCACGTCCCCAGCTCGATCAGGAAACTAAATCCGTATTTGAGGAAGAACTAGCTAAACACATATCTGTGTTCGACAGCTGTGCTCACCCTGAAGAAGCTTGGAAAAATATCCAGGCAGCCATAGATACAGCTGTAAAAGCTGTGAATAAGGTAAACCCAAAGGTGAGTAAAAACCACTGGATCTCCACCGCCTCATCCGAACTGATAGATGCTAGAAGACTTATTCCGGCGAGCTCCGAATTCAATGAGGAGCGAAAGCTGCACAAGAGGAAACTTACGAAAAGTCTCCGCAAGGACCGTGAACAGTGGTGGGCGACAAAAGCCAAAGAGATGGAGAAAGCTTCGAGGATAGGCAACACCAGGCAACTCTTTGGACTCATCAGGGAAACGGGTGGGAGAAGACAAATCATTAGTGAGACAATCTCGGAAAAAAATGGCACTATAATTAGCTCACAGGATAGACGACTGGATCGTTGGAAAGAGCATTATGAGGAGCAGTTTAATTTGCCCACAGCCACGCTCAACCTTCCGAGCATCCAACACCTCCCTGAATGGGATATAGATACAGGTCCTCCGTCACTAACTGAGGTTACTAAAGCTGTCACCAATCTGAAACTAGGCAAAGCAGCGGGACCTGATGGAATGACTCCAGAGGTATTTAAGTACGGTGGAGACAGCTTACTGTCCGGATTAACTGAGGTACTAGGCAGCGTCTGGGAATCAGAAGAA